CCAAACTAGGGTTCACTTTCCTGAAATAAATGAACAGTAAGTTGAGTCTCAAAGGATGAGGAAAGGCGGGGGAAGGGGGGAAGGGGGGAAGGGCAAACATATGTAACCTAAACATCCGTACCCCCATAATATGCTGAAATAAAAAAAAAAAAAAGATGAGGAAAGTTAAGATTGGAAAAAGGAAAGGTGTGTGCCACTCAGCCCAAAGGACAGCGGCTGTCGCGGAGCACAGAGCGTGCGGTGGAGAGCACAGGCTCGAGGCTCGGGAGGCAGGGCCCCAGGGGCTGGCCTCAGAGGGGCTGCCCCTTCCCTCTGGGGCGTGTGGAGGGCCCACACCCGGCAAGGAAATGGTGGGCGTGTGCGGGTCAGTGCCTCCGCGTGTCGCTGAGGGCTGGCCTTCCCAGGTCCACTGGCACGCTTGCCAGGAGCCTGCTATGCAGCTACCTTAAAACCCTTCTCCTTATTTAGGTATCTCCTTTTCCTTTAATTAGGTAGTTATCCTTGGACAAAGTAGTGCTAATGGACAGAACCCATTACAGTAATGTGGGTTTCATACATGTAAATGATCTCATTTACAAAGTTACCGGAATAAAGTTTTAATTGGAATGTGGGGAAAACATGGGAGTGTGCACCCACAACATGTGTAGCTTTCCCACTGGGTCACGTCTAAGCTGCCCTAGAGAACGCTGCCACCTGCCCCTGCTCCTGGGTTTCCCCAGCTGAACAGACATACCTATCAACCTTGCAGGCTTTGTACCAGCCGCCATACTCTCCAAAAGATGTCCCGTCCTTCTGCTTTCCCTAAATTATAACAGATCATTTCAAATTAATAATTATCTTGAACACAGTATATCCAATTTAGAAAATCTCAAAATGGTATATTCTTACTTTGCATTCTTCTCTTTCTTCAGCATGCATCCAAATGGGTTTATTTTCATCTAGGGAAAAAAAAAATTCATACAGGTTGAGCATCCCAAATACAAAATTCTGAAATCCGAAACACTCCAAGTATCAAGTCTATGCTCAAAAAGTTTCAAATTTTGGAGCATTTCAGATAAGGGACACTCAACTTGTACTACGGACTGAAACATGATGGAACCCATTAAGCAGAACAGAACTTGTTACGCCTCGAGGATTGCAAAGGTTTTGTTTTGTTTTTTGTATGATCCTTCTTAGATATTACCTCTCGCAACGTGGACAGATCACATTCCCACCAGATGAGGAGGCCTACGGAAGACAGACCAGACACCAGGCAGTAAGAGGCAGCCGTTCGCGCCTCGCCCTGGACACCAGGTCAAAGAGTCAAAGGCCCCTGGACAGGGGGAGCAACTGTCCAACCCCCTGGTCAATGCTAGGGCCTATAATGTACATTTTTAAAAGCTAGATCCTCAAATAACACCTGTTAGTATTTAGGATTTGAGCAACCTAGCATTAAACCAAAGTCTAAGAAAAAGCAATAAGACATTCAGAGCAAAAGTAGAAAAGATACAAATCCATATTCCTTTAAAGTTTTTTAAAATTCTCAGAACACTACCACATGCCCCTCAACCAAGTTTCTAGACAACCAAAATACCCATGCCATGGAGAAAAAAGCAGCTTAAAAAGGATGTTTATGAAAATATTTTTATGACATGAGAAGTACGTGTGCTAAAAATGTAAAGAGAATAAGCAGTACACATGATTATATGTAGAGTATGGTTTCAATTAGGTAAATCAATAGGTACGGAAGGAAGGAAAGATATTTAAAATGTTACAAGATGGATTTAGGTGAGTTTCATGTTCTCGTCTCTGTGTGAATTTTCTAGGTTTCCTGCAGGGAGGACATATTATGGGCTACGGACAGAGACCCACACCCAACCCCAGACCCCCACTTCTCAGCTCCCCAACCACAGACATGTCGCTCATTACAGTTCGTGGTGTCTTTGCTTCTGAAACGGGGTGATGTCTGACCCACGTGACAGGACTGCTGTGAAAGTTAAGTGAGATCACACTTAACACAATGACTGCCACAACAGAAAAAAAATTTTTCCTTGAGGCCATGGGGTTTTGTTACAAAAATAGAATAAAGACTTCAAAAACAAAATGATCCTTTCTAGTATAATGAAAAGTTTATTTTTTATTGTTGTCTGTGCTTGAGTTATATGCAACTTGAAAAATGATTCCCACGGCTATAGGTAAAGAGACATGTGAGTCACATACGATTCACAAGGCCCCGGCTCAAAACTAGTGTGAGTTAAATACAACTCACGTGGCACTTAATGTGTTAAACTGCTTAGCTCAGCGACTGATACGTGGCCAGGAGCTTAGTAAACAGTTAAGTGTTATTATTCTTATTGGTCATGTCATTAGACATGAATGAAACTACAAAAGTTTTAAATACTGTTTTAAAACAGTGACTATTGTTTAGGTGAGAAGTCTTATGCTGTAATCCCAGCACTTTGGGAGGCTGAGGATCGCTTGAGGCCAGGAGTTGGAGACTAGCCTGGATAACATAGTGAGACCCTGTCTCTACAGAGAAATTTTTAGAAAATTAACTAGGCATAACTGCGGGCACCTGTGGTCCTAGCTACTCAGAAGGCATGAGTAGCTACGTGAAGATCACTTGAGCCTAGGAGTTCGACGATATAATGAGCTATGATCGTCCCACTGCACTCAACTTGGGTGACAGAGTGAGACCCTGTCTCTAAAAATGTAAATAAATAAATAAATAGCTGAACATATTTAAAACTCATTAGCCCTGTTATTTCGTGCAGTTTTAATTATACCTACTAAACAGATTCTAGTGCTAGGATTCAAGTATATTTCACAGTTCACATAGCTTGATGTCCTGACAACAAACCAGGTCATTGATTCAATACATACACTCTGAGCAACAGAAAGCCAGTGTGATGCTGAAGGTCATGAACTGAAACCACAACAGGACACATCTGCATCTGACCTAAGGGGCAAAATGCCTTTTTCTGCCCTATGTTTCACGGAGCAGAAATCTGAGTATAAAAAAACTACTTTTAACTAGAACCCAATTAACTGTACTTCATGCCACTATTTTTAGCAAATCACAAGGAAACAAGTTGACCCAACAGAAGTTTTGAGAAACAGCATGAAGGAGACGGCCTGGAGTCACTACAAGACAGAAGGCCTCTGCCCAGGGCAAGACTGCAGGTGAGCTGTTCTGCACCTGCACGCAGAACCCGAGACACTACCGTATTCTGGCAGTAAAAGGTATTTACTGCTCCACTTGTTAAGAGAGGGAAAAAAACATTTTTGAAAGATTTTCCAAACCTGGTTTCTAGAAACGCTCTATAAAGGAAAAAATTAACCCTCTTTCCAGGGAGCAGAATAATTTGCTCCCGTCTTGTCTGTTTGGCTTCATTGTACTGACAACCTCAGCTGGTATCTCAGACCACAAAGAGCCAAGAGGAAACACACAGGAAGGAACGTCCTGGGATTCTTTCATTCTTGTAGAGACCAGGTCTCCCCACGTTACTCAGGCTAGTCTCAAATGCCTGGAGTCAAGCGATCCTCCCACCTTGGACCCCCAAATGCTGGGATTACAGGCACGAGCCTGGCCCTGGGATTATTTTTCTAGGGATGTAATACGTTGATACTAATAAAATATTTCAACGGACAAAAATATATGTGTGTGCACATGTGTGTGTATATGTGTGTATATATATGTGTCTTTATGTGAGTGTATGTGTATATATGTATACATGTGTATATACATGTATGTGTGTGTATATGCAGTTGTGTATGTATGTGTGTGAATATATGTATACATATGTATATGTGTGTGTGACTGTATGTATGTGTGTATACATGTGTATATATATATGTGTACATGTGTATATATGTATATGTGTGTGTTGTATACAAGCTGAGTTATATATTTCACTATATATTACAACGTAATAATAACAGAAATAGAGTACACAACAAATGCAATGTACTTGAATCATCCCTAAACCATCTCCCCCTCCCCGTCGATGGAAAAACTGTCTTCCATGAAACAGTCCCTGGTGCCAGAAAGGTTGGGACCACTCGTATATATGCATATATAAAAATTAACCGAAACACCTCTTTCCCTCCACATTCTGAGGTTTCCTACACACCAGCAACAACGTCCCCACTCTGAATGCCTTCTGTAATAACTGATGGAGAAAAAATTAACACATAAGTATTTTTGATGGAGCAATTTGAACTCTGTGGAACAGTCGGTCACCCTGTGACTGTGGATGAAGCACTCAGGACACGCAGCCCTGGCTCCTTAACACAGCGAAACAAGCCGGCAGGCGCGTCCGACGGGCTCCCCGGGGGGCTCGGCTGCTGGCTCCGGGCCACCCTTTGAGGACTCCTGACTCACAGCACAAACCCCGACAGCACGCTGACTCGACGGGGGCTTCTGGGGTCAGTGGACTTAGCCGGAGCCTGAAGCAAGCGCAGACTCCGGAGGGAGGCAGCACGGAAAGCAGCCGTGTGAGGGCCCGGAGCCTCCCCGCAGGGAGCTGTCCTGAGTGGCGGGTGGCGCTGGGCAGGGCACCGCAGAGGCGTGCACCAGCATTTACTGCGCCAGAACGGACAGATGAGCAGGAGAGGGGATGAACGCTCAGCCTGTGCCGTGTCCACTCTTCCAAGCACTATTTGGAAAAGTGTTTCTAAAATTCAAATAAAATTCTATATTGAATGGCCAGGTGCAGTGGCTCACGCTTACAATCCCGGCACTTTGGGAGGCCAAGATGTGAGGATCACTTGAGGCCAGGTGTTCAAGACCGGCCTGGGCAACATAGCAAGACCTCATCGCTACAAAAACCTTTTTAAACAACTAAAAATTTTAAAATGTATATTCTGATAACCTCGGTATTACCAAGTTCCAGTTGGAAATCACTATTTTTAATGTATTAAACGATTAAAGCTGCTTAGAAATAGGAGCGTGTTTCTTACCATCTACAGAACCAAACTCCCTTTCATGTGCACGAGTGAGAATTTCTTTGTACAGTGTTTCTGCTTGCTTGAACTTTCCTTGTTTCAGATAGCAGGATGCCTTCAAATAAAATAAAATATTTAGTATCCTTTATGTGTAAATAAAGCACACATTTTACTCTACAGGTTAAATCACGGAACGTTTGCATTTTGGAAAGAAGCACTGCTGGCTGCACCCCTGGCGCTGCGCCTCCGTCAACATACCAGGTTATTTTTGGTCTTGGCCACATTGGGGTCATCGGGCCCCAGTTTCGTCTGGTAGATGTCGAGGGCTCTTTGATAATAGTACTCCACTTCCTCATACTTGCCCTGGTTCTGGCACAGCAAGGCCAAGTTATTTAACTGCTTAGCAACATCGGGGTGATCCTTTCCCAACACCTGGAAATGAAAACAGTGTGTGAGAACCACGTCCTTGTTCCGCTCTCCACCCTGCTGCTGGAAGGAGCTTTCTGAAACAACAGAACTGCGCTACACTTCCAGGATTAAAATCCCTAAATGGCTCCCAAGCTGTGTAATAATAAAAGTAACTTAACCAGAATTTTATCAAACTCTCATTCTTGAGGGGAGGGAAGGGACCGTGCTAATTTTCTTTAGCTGCTTTAAGTTGTGCGATTCCTACAGGAATCCCGCACGGTGGGTATGTACGATTATTACGCATTTTGAAGATGAGGAAACTGCGTTTTATAAAGGCTGTGTTAGTTTCATTGCCAAGTTCTAGAAGAGTCCAAACTCGCTGCTCAGACACTCCTCCCCTAGCCCTCCCTGCTACCAACCCTTGAGGGCTCTCTTCAGTCCCCTCGGAGGGGACCTCCCAACAGCCAAGTAAGGAGGCCTCGCCCCACCCAGTGAACTCACAAGCATGTCACCTGGTTGTTCTCTCTTTACCAGAATCACTACCCAACACGACCTGGATTATCCTTCACTGCCTGACTCACCCCACTCATGACTTCTATAAGCCCCGAGAGTACAAACTGTCAGTCTTCTTCGCCATCTAGAAGGGGCCTGGCACGCAGACGGATGAATAAACCTAACCTACTCCCTCAGTGCCTTTCTTCCTTTTTTTTTTTTTTTTTAAAGAGACAGGGTCTTGCTCTGTCACCCAGGCTGCAGTGCAGTGGCCGACCACAGTGCACTATAAAACCTCAAACTCCTGGGCTTACACGTTCCTCCTGCCTCAGCCTCCCAAGTAGCTATGACTACAGGTGTGCACCACCATGCTTGGCTAATTTGTTAAAATTTTTCTGTAGAGACAGGGTCTCACTATGTTGCCCAGGCTGGTGTCAAACACCTGGCCTCAAGTGATCTGCCTGCCTCAGCCTCCCAAAGTGCTGGGATTACAGGCGTGAACCACCATGCTCGGCCCCCTCAGTACCTTGAACAAGTGATTTGTTTTCTCCACTTTGTGCCTTTACGTGTGCAGTCCAGGGAGGCGAGCTGCCCCTCCACCCCTTTCTGCATTCCCTACCTATCCCTGCCCAGGAAACTTTTAGCTCAGTTATTCAAGATGCAGCTTAAACACTGACCTTCTCTGGGAAGCTACCCCCCATGGCCCCCAAGCCCTGGGCCCAGAGACGCCTGCTCCCTACTCTCCCAGGGCTCCATCCGAGAGGCTGACACACCCTGCGGCTGAGTTCCGTCTGGTGGGCTGTGCTCCCGTGGGAGGGACTGTATCTGATGTGTAAGTCACCAACTCCAACTAAGCAGAGGGCTCTGAACGCATGAAAGAGCAAATATATAAATGAATCCGGCAGATCAACTCACACAGCTCCCAATCCTGAATGCGGTGCTTCTGTGCTGGCCCTGACTTAACCCCACAACACTCAGATCCGGCCACAGTGTTTCGTGAATGCCGTGCAGAGGACAGCGTGATAACACAGCGCCTGCATCGTTGCACAGCGAGCCCTTTCCATTTTCTCTCCCCTAGTTCCTTACCATAAGGCTCAAAATTAAGGGACTAATCTCTAAGTATCACTGATAAATAATCACAAAAAATACCAAGATAAAAGATCACGGGCCACACCTGCTACCTGAATCTCTGTAACATCTGAACAGGCACACAGAGAACTGCCGGAATGGACAGGTTACATTGTCCCAACACCTAATCAGCATAAACTGTAACGGCTGGCACTAAGCACCCACACCACGGCGTCGCAGATGACACGTGTAGGTAAGTGATGGGGTCCCTCGCAGCACTGAGTTACTGTTTAATTTTTGTCCCTTTCCCCCCCGCCAGCCACACAAAAGGGGTAATTTAAATCAGAAATTCAGTGGAGCTACAGAAAAGAAAGAGTACTACACTTCTTATACACCTGAGTCTACAGTCTGCGAGGTGTTTGTATTTGATGACAGGGACCATTTTGCTGATGTTACTCAAGAGTACGAGTTGGTGCTAAGTTCAGTGCTTCACTGAATTCCGGCCCTGCCAGGCAATCTCCAGAGAGATGTCATGGGGGCAGAAGCTGCATCTACATGTAAGAACACTTAGCCGAAGGAATCTAGACCAAGCGTTAATCATAGGAAGGACACAGAAAACCAGAAACTTCTGCTACTCAGAGGTCAGCAACAAGAAGTGGTTTCTGTAGGCCGCAGAGGGAGAGTTACCACCCCATTCCTTTCTGAGCTCTCCTCTTCCGTTCTGAACCCTCTCAATCCTTCCCAAAGGCATCAGTAAGTTCCCCTCTCTGGAACTGTCACAGAATTTGGGTCACAGTCCTCTACTGACAACGGCTCGTCATGTCTCCTAAGACTAATACGAATGCACAAAGACACAATCATAACCACCAGGGATTACAGTGTTCTACGGTGCAGTTCCTGAATGAAGTATCTGCACATGATAAATACGTAGTAGTAAAATTACTTTTCCTTTTAAAAAATAAAATAAATAAAATATCCATGCCATTGATTTAATCTATAGCTCTGAGTTAATCTGTAGATCTGAAAATGATCATTCATTTTTTAAGCTTCATAAAGCATATTTGATGTTTGTTTTTTTTTTATGAGATGGGGTCTTGCTCTGTTGCCCAGGCTAGAGTGCAGTGGCATCATCCTGGCTCATTGTAGCCTCAAACTCCTGGGCTCAAATGATCCTCCTGCCTCAGCCTTCTGAGTAGCTGGGACTACAGGTATGCACCACCATGCCTAGCTAATTTTTCTATTTTTAGTAGACATGGGATCTTGCTCTTGCTCAGGCTGGTCTCGAACTCTTGACCTCAAGTAACCCTCCCGCCTCCCAAAGTGCTAGGATTACAAGTGTGAGCCACCTCATCTGGCCTGATGAATTTATCTTTAAACTGTAATGTTTTCCTCACTGACAAGCACATGTCCCACTGTCAAATGTAAGGCCCCAGGCTTTCCACCTCTAGTCCTTAGAAATTCTTCAATGAGCATCGTTTCCAGGCCGCACCAGGCTCGGGAGGGCACAGCGCCAGGACTGCACCTGTCAGAACACACACTCCTCATAACTGGGTCTTACACGTGGATCTGTACGGGCCAGTCTGGCCTTGTTTTGTGGGCTGTCTGCCCTAGTAAATGAGGTGTTTTCAGTAAACGATCAGGAGCAAGACATCACAGTGGTCATTTCTCAAAACCTAAAACTGAAATATTTTTTTAAAAACACAAGAAAACTCAATCTCAGAGAAGGAGAATCCTCCATGTTCTGGTACCTTTTCTCTGATCTCCAGGGCTCGCTTGCACAAGGGCTCGGCTTCCTTGTACTTCCCTCGCTTGCCATAGAGGACCGCAAGGTTATTCAGAGTGGCCGCCACCTGCCAACACAGAGGGCACCACTAAGAACAGTACAAGATCACACAACAAAGTACACTTACACATCACAAATTCACTTACACTCGCTACGTATAGTACAGCACTCTCAACTGGATAAAAGAATGTAACCAGTTACCAGGAAACAAGCGATTCGCTACACTACCGATTACACAAGGTAACACTGCAGAACACTAAAATTAAACAAATCGACAGCAACAACAGGATCTTAATTTTTTTTCGTTTCCTTGGAAGCCACAAAGCCACCCAAAACAGATCTGCATGTAAATTAACCAGATTTTAATAAAGAGACAATATAAATTCTTCAGAAAAAAATTTCTGAAAGTACATGCAATTTGATTTAGGATCAAAAAATATGGTGGGTGATCCAGCTGAGGTGAGCGCTATGAACGAGTTCAGTGCAGGGGCTCATGCGACGTGGCAGAGCCATCCGCATGCAGCCTGCCGCCGGCGCGGACGGAGGGAAGACCCTACCTGAACCGTCTAGGGAAAGGCAGCTCCTAAACTCTCCCTGTTGAGTTTAATATTAGAATGAGCTGGATAAAAGAAACGGACGGGGAAGTAAAATACAAAAAGAATGAAAGAACTAGATATACAAACCGCAGGATGGTCTTTGCCCAGCGTCTTCTCACGGATGGCCAAGGCGTCATTCAGTAGGTTGGCTGCGTCCTTGTATTTGTTTTGATCCCTGAATTGAAAACACACATTAAGTGTTTTAGACACAAATTCATACATCTTTTTTAAACATAATTTTAGAACCACAGAAATAAAAGTTAAGCTTCAACTCTTTAAAAAGAAAAACCTATGTGCAGGAGAAAAAGATGGAAGAAAATTCATCAAAAAATGTACTGGCAAGGTGAGCCCTGGAATCAGGGCTGACTAGCTCTGAGCGTGTCTCTCCCGTCTACACCACCGGACAACACGTTCCCACACTGCAGCACGCGCCCGCTGCCCTAGATATACCCCACCAAAGGAACTCTTCTGCGCCACTGCTCCGCCCGCGCCCTTCAGCAGAGATGAACACAAAAGGGGCAAAGGTCAAGTGGAACCCTGAATTCTAGAAGGAGACAGAGTTAACCAGGCCCTTGGAAGGATACTGACAAACATCTTTTGTCAAAGTGGATATCCTTCTTCAAAGTGGAAGGACACTGGCAGAGCGGGGAGGCCAGTCTAGACAAAAGCAGCCCAGTACACAGAGTCCTGTGGAAAACAGCATAAATGGCTTAGTGTGGCCAGAGTGAAAGGTCTCCGTGGGCTACTGTAGAAAGGCAGCGTCTGTTCTGACTCGTGAGACCCTTGCCACAGAGCTTACTGAATATTTTGAGTTTAACCCTTGGCTGTTTATAGAAAAGTGGATAATAAGGTTGAAAAATAGTTTATACATATTTACAAGCAAATAAATATTTTTACGGGGTAAGGTGGTTAAAAACATTGTCCACGGTGAAACCGGTAGATGAACGAAACGACTAGCCTGTACACCAAGGCCAGGATGTTGAGCATGGTGGCCACGTCTGGGTGGTCGTGTCCCGACGTCTTCTCCAGATCCTCCAGCGCCTGCTTGCAGAGGGGCACGGCCACCTCGTAGCGCCCCTGGGAGGCGTACTGGATCACCAGGTTGTGCAGCGTGCGCAGCCGCGCGGGGATCTCGTAGCCACCCTGCTGGGCGGCGGCGGCCGCGCTGCTGTGCTGCTGCTGGACTGCACAGAGAGGGTTTGGGTTCAGAGGGGCTTTTCAACAGCAGCATCAAGATGAGTCAGTTCCTTTAAAACTGTCTTCCCTAGCTTTGGCCCTGATGCTGTTTAAATCTTCTAGAACTGCCTGGGCAAGCAAGAGAACAGCGCTAACGTGTCAGGGATGGCGCCATGTCCCCTGATCGCACCATGACACTTCTCTTGGCACCAGGAAACCAGCAGAATAAGGTAATTCTGACTTCCTTCCTCTGGGAGAGTCCACAGATCACGGCCAGACTGAGCACGCGTGCCCTGTGTCCTAGCGTCTGATCTAACGTATTCCCATATCCCAACAAACAAAAACTATTTTAGATTCTCTTGGAAAACGAAAATCAATCCCACTGGTGCTCCTGCTTCCACGAGGCAGGCTACACGTCCTGAGGCTCCCACCAGCCACCACCTTCCTACGGCACGTGGCCACACCCTCCGCGTCACTCACTGCCTTGTCCTGGGTCGTCTTCGTCATTGGGGAAAAGGTCATCCAGAGGCTCTTTGGTAGAATCCGTGTCCTTGTCCTCCTGTAAAACAGACCCAGAACAACCCTTCATCTTATACGCACTATACATCCCGTCCTGGAACTCTTTGATACTAAATTCATTTTAATTACAAATCAGAAAAGATTCTCAGCTTTTAACATCAATGTAGGATCCTCCACCATTTGGCTTATCTACCAGTTCAATCAGGAGTGATAAAAAGCTTGTTTGACTGGACACAAGTACTTCAACGCAGGCCAGGGTTGGACAAAATAGGCCATGACTGCGTTTCTATGCCTTAGATTCTTCGCCCGTACTCTGAGGAAGGCCCAGGAGAGCAGAGAAACCCTGATTTGAAATAAAAATCTCACTTGGAAACCAACACGCAGAGAGAGATTAAGATGAAAGCTTCTGCGGGGCGCAGGAACGGCGCGGCTGACTCCCGCCCAGCACAACGGGCTCCAGGGCAGGAGCCCCCAGAGCAGCTGGAACCTCCCAGCTCTAAAAGTCTGTGCCCCGTGTTTCCCAGCAGTCCTGCTGATCAGGGCAAGGCGTGAAAACAGTGACTGCACGATGGAGAGGACAGACACCGCGTGCGCAGGTAAGAAACTGGCGGCATCGTGGGGCAGAGGAGCACTGCGTGGCTCCGGAAAGGATAACCTGACCAAGACACCTGCAGAGCATTCCTGTCTGGGACATGTGATCGGAACATCAGACAGACCCAAACCGAGGAAAGACGTGTAAAGGAACTGGCCCGCACTCTTCAAAAAATACCAAGGTCAAGAAAGACAAAGACAGACCGAGGCCCTGTTCCCGATGAAAGACGACTGAAGAGACACAACAGCCGCGCGTAGGGTGTGGCCCTGAACTGGACCCTGGCACGGAGCGGGAAATGCCACGATGAACACGCGGAAGTTTGAAAAAAAGAAAAACTGCTGTGAAGGACACTGTGGGGCAACGGACAGAAGCGGGTATCAACTACAGAGGACGTGAGGGCACCTGCGTGCAACGTTCTGCCTGCCCCGGCCCTGGCCGCCACAGGGGCACATCCCGACCCCAGGGAGGCACCAAGCAAAGGCAGGGAGGGCGGCACAGACGGCGCTCACCGTGCACCTGAAAGGGCAGGGAGGCTAACTCGGTAAGGTTTTCTCCAAGTCTGACATTTTTTCAAAACATGAAAGTTTTTTATTTTTTTAGGCAGAGTCTCACTCTGTCACCCCAGCTACAGTGCAGTGGCCTCATCACAGCTCCCTGCAACCCCAAACTCCTGGGCTCAAGCGATCCTCCTGCCTCAGCCTCCCGAGTAGCTGGGACTACAGACCTGCGCCACCATGTCTGGCTAATTTTTCTATTTTTAGTAGAGACAGGTTTCCCTCTTGCTCAGGCTGGTCTTGAACTCCTGACCTCAAGTGATCCTCCTGCCTCAGCCTCCCAGAGTGCTAGGATTACATACCGGCATGAGCCACCATACCTGGCCTCAAAACATGTAATTTAAAAAGGCCGATTCTATGAAACCAGCATTCCACTTCTCACCATTCTCCAGTGTTCCTGGCTGGCATTGCTTCTCCAACTACTCTCATTCCCAGCAGCAGTCTACAGCAGTGCATCTTTTAAATCAAAACATTTAGTTGCCCCCTGGCTTCGAGGAGACATGAGGGAGAAACACGGTAAGCCTATTAAAATAGGGTGCTATCAACTGAACTGTGTTCTCCCAAAATTCTTATGTTAAAGCCCTACCCTGAAAACGCTGGTATTTGGAGATAGAGCCTTTGGGAGGTGATTTGGGTGAGGTGAGGTCACAAGGGTGGGGCCCTCATGATGGGATTAGTGTCCTTATAACAGACTCCAGAGAGCTTACTCCCTCTCTCTCTCTCCACCATGTGAGGACACAGAGAAGGTGGCAGTCTGCAAGCCAGGAAGAGAGCCCTCCATACAACCAGACCCTGCCGGCACCCTAATCTTGGACTTCCAGCCTCCAGAACTGAGAAAATAAATGTTGTTTAAGCCACCCAGCCTGTGGTATTTTGTTACGGCAGCCTGAGTAAGTGTAGGTTTGCTGGTGCTATACACAAGACTATCCCAGTAGTGTTAGGATGGGGGTTTGGACCAGAGACACAGATGTGGAACTCTCTTACACACTGATTATTAAACATGCCTGGCATCATGTAAGCATTTAAAAGAACACTAGCTCTACATGCAATGTGGAATCCTGGATTGGATCCTGGCACAGCAAAGGGACACAAGTGGAAAGCCTGGTGACATCCAAATCAAGCCTGTGGTTAATAGTAAAGTAGTGATGTTAACGTCTTAGTTCTGACCAATATACTATAGTTAGATAAGATGTTAACACTAAGGAAACAGGGTAAAGGGCATATGGGAATTCTCTCGACTGTCTTTTCAACTTTTATGTCAATCTAAAATTATTCCAAAATTAGTAAGTTTTCTTAAAAAAGAAGTTAACTGAATGAGAAAAAAATAGTGAATAAAAAATAACTCAGACTAGGATAAACATCCAAACAGAGCGAACAGTAAAGGAAAAGCAGCCGGGCGTGGTGGCTCACGCCTGTAACCCTAGCACTGTGGGGGAAGAGGCAGGAGGATCAGTTGAGGTCAGGAGTTCAAGACCAGTCTGAGCAAGAGCGAGACCGACCCCGTCTCTACTGAAAATAGAAAAATTAGCCAGGTGTGGCAGTATGCTCCTCTAGTCCCAGCTACTCAGGAGCCTGAGGCAGGAGGATTGCTTGAGCCCAGGAGTTTAAGGTTACAGTGAGCTATGATGACGTCACTGCACTCTAGCCAAGGGGACAGAGTGAGACTCTATCTCAAAAAACAAAAAACAAAATGAAACAAAAAAAAAAACCGAGATCCATCCTTGGGGAACCCTACCATTCCAGAAACAGAAAGATAAGTGGGCAAGGGAGGCTGACAGGTCATGGGAGAGCCAGGTAGCATCCTGGGGCCAGGGAGGAAGAGTTTCAAAGAAAGACTCTGCTAGCTGCAGAGAGCCAACCCAGAGTCAGGGTCACAGATGGGTGAGTCGGGCCACTGCTGACGTAGCAGTAGGAGGTACTGGAAACCAAACTGCAGAGGGGTAGGGAAGTTCTCAAGCTAGGGCGGACCTCACTGAAGGTAAGTAATGGTCTTCTTTGCATTCATTGTGCCTGATGTTTACAAAGCATTTTTACATTTTCTGACCATTATTCTAAAAACACGTATAAAAAGACTACGGACTTGCCCAGAGACCCACCAGCCTTGGCCCTGCGAAATGCAATCACCAGAGAAGACAGGAAAAGCCCGGCAGCCCTGCCGCCGTGCTCTGTGACTGCAGCATGGCAAATGTCAGCACCACGCTCACTACAGAGCCACTCACAGATGGGGAAATGTCGTCATCGTATTTTTTGAGCTGATTCATAAATTCCAGATGCTTCTTTTCTTCCTCCAGCTGAGCCACAGACTGCTCGCTCTTCTGCAATTTCTGCTGAGTGTTGGCCAGTTCGTCCCGCAGCCACTGATTCTCCTGGCACAGGCGACGCACCTGCGCACGCAGCTTCTGTTTCTCGGACTCCACGGCATTCAGGTGATTGGACAAAGCCATCATAACCTGAACAGAGACGTGCACAGAACGGTAGTATGCTGTCCAGCAGGGGCTCGCCCCTCTGCGGCGGCAGCTCCAGCTCCAGCTCCCGCTCACAGGCACGTTCCCCAAAGTACCCGCAAGTATAATCCGCCATTTATTGCTCTTCCCCCTTCAGCCACAGACTGCATAACGGGGTGTGATAAAGAACATCCCATGTTGAACATCTACAAGTAACACACCTCTCTTTTTTGACTTGAGAGCGTCTCAAAGGGACTAGCGATGAACACACAGCCGCTCTTAGACGGCACCGTGTTATTTTACTTTCTATGGAGATGGCCCCCGCCTAATGTTTCACAGACCCCGTTCCACGTGTGAGGCTGCGTGTACCACGTGTGCATGAGCTGCAGGTCAGCAAGGGGCTACTGGCGGACTCGAGCACGGGTAGGGAGACAAATCTTCCCCATGCTCCACGCTAAGGGAAGAAATCTCCGCAGCTACCAGCACGCTACGCTACAGAATGCTCCAGGGCTCCGCCTGCGGTGAGCTGTCAGTTTCCTGGACAGGCCTGCCTGCGGCCGTAAGTGCCCAGGAGCACGAGCACCAAGGGCAGGAGGGAAGAGGGTGGCTTCAGTCTCTTCTAGCTTCAGGTCATGTAACTGCCCTTCCCTTTCGTTCCTAACATAATCATCATGTTATCATCTCCCTAGGTTTAAAACTTCAAACTCCAAAAGGTGGAGCCTTTTCTTCCTTCTTTTTTTAAACCAATTATCTACCAGACTAAAAAAAGCAAGTTTAGGCAGGTGTGCTGGCTCAGGCCTACCATCCTGGCACTTCAGGAAGCCCAGGTGGGAGGACTGCTTGAGGCCAGAAGTTCAAGAACAGCCTGGACAACATAGTGAGACTCCATCTCTACAAAAAATTTAAAAATTAGCTAGGTGTAGCAATGTGAGCGTGTAGTCCCAGCTACTCAGCAGGCTGAGGTTGGAGGATCACTTCAGCCCAGGAGTTTGAGGTTGAAGTGGGCTCTGATGACGCCACTGCCTCCAGCCTGGGCAACAGAGCAACACCCTGTCTCAAAAAAAAAAAAAAGCAAGTCCAAAGTTCAAAGTCATACCATCTTTAAATAACAGAACTTCAGAACTTAAGAAACAACAGGTACACAGTATCCAAACAAAGCTACAGTTCTTCAACTAGAGTCTGTAACATGGTGAAGATGAAGAACTCTAAAATCAGGATATGGATGGCCACTTCCTCTGTGAAAGCAGAACTGGTAACCAGCGGCCCCTCTTCTGCTCCATTCAGTCACTAGACTGGGGGACAGCTAAGACAGAAGGCAAGTTTTAGCACACTTAAATTTATCTAAGATACACTGGCAGAGCCAGAAGTTATCAGGGAGGGAAAAAACCTAGATGTTTTCAGTGTTTTCATCTCTGTATCGAGTACAACAGAAACACAGGTTGAGTCCAAGACGTGAAGCAACCTGGCCCTGGGGTACCACACAGACTACCAGCTGCTGGCCAGAGTCCGTGCTCCCTTCCTCCTCGGGCTTCAGAACCTGGAACTGTAAGTGGGAAGACAACATTCCCCAGCCTACCTCACGCCTAGGTGCGGCCAAGGAAGGGAATTCTGGCCAGTGAAATGCAAAGCAGTGCTGTGCACAACTTCAGGGAAGTGGCCTTAAAGGGAGGAGGCACACCCTTCCTGTCTCCTCCCCTGTCCTCGAACAGGGTCATGTGGCTGCAGCTGGAGCTCCCTCTTAGTCTCCGAGACAGGCTGCCAGGATGTGGTGCAGCGGATGACAGGAGCCCAAGTATCCCTGACAACCGGGCAGCCACAGAGCCATCCAGGACGGCACACCCCGGTACTTGTCTCACACACCTCTGTGCTGCTTAAGCCACCGTTTTTGTTTTTCCATATAGGCAGCCACATCAAATCCCGACCTAAGTGATACACAGGGGTGCCTCTGTTTTGGCTCTGCTTCTTAAAAGTTGAGATATACCCAAATTAGGAGCCATTTCTACAACATACACAACCCACATGTCAGTGGACGTCTGTTACTCCGCAAGCAGCTTCCCTCTACTTTAATGGAACTACGTATTTCACGTGAAGTCTCCACTCTTCCAAACAATCAAGTCCAGGTTCACGTCTGGGTCGTTTCGCTCATACCTGTGCCTCGCTCAGGCCAAGCTCCAACATCTCCAGGGACTTCCGGATCATGTTCGATTTCTCCTCCACCAGGTTGCTTTCATCATCTTTCTTCAAACACTTCAGTGTCTCCAGTAAACTCTGCAAAATGGAATTGTGTTCATTCTTCAGAGCTTCCAGGCCCTGAATCACTTGCTTTGTCTTGGAAATAATTTCATCCTGTGTAAGCTTCTCCAACTTGTCTTCCTTTATGTACACCATTGTGGACATGTTGTCATACATTCTAGAATGAAAAAGGAAAAACAAATTAGACATCTCATTACAAGTTTCCTTTCTGTTATATCTTTAGTAAGGTAAACATCTGTGAAAACTTTAAAATGAGCATTGTATAGGTAAACAATTAATATGTGCATTTGTAATTTAAGATCTTGAAATATCATACTCTGTACTATTTCTGCTTTCCCTTTGCAGACCCATTGTACTTTTCTGATTTATTTCTAAATTCTTTTTTACGGATAGAACGACAGCAACTGAAATTAATGCCAAAGATTAAAAGCAGCAAAACATCCAAATGGCATTTCCAAAACACATAGCCTCAGTGAACAAAATTTTCTCTGAATGTTTGTAAGCTTTTTTGTCTTAATTAAATGCAGAAGGAACTCTAAATTCTTGGTAACACACTTAACCAGACAAAGCCTTGAGAAGTGGTCACACAACTGGAAGAAGAAAAACCAGCCAAAGAACATGGAACAGTGAGCGTGGCCGGGGAGAGCAAACCCAGAAGACACAGGGTGCCAGGGACAGGAGCAGGATGGTCACTGGCGGGCTCTTGGAAGAGGGCCGTGAGAGGCCGGGGAAGACAGGACGCCCTGTCTCGGACTGCCTTTGAAACCCCACAGTGAGGAGGAAGAGGACGAGGGGAAAGAGACACACAAAATAGGACCAGCCGTCGTGTCAGGTAACTGCTGACTACGCTCTGCTCCCTTTACCAACCTCTCTGGCTTTACGCATGTCTTAAAATCCCATCGGTAAGTTTAAAAAACAGTAGAGTCACGAGCAGTGATAATCAAGGCAGTCTCCAGCACGGTGATGGGGACGGAGCCCGAGTTACGAGCCAGAGTGACTCCTTCACAGCACTGCCGCGACCTGAAATCTCAGGTTTCACAAAGTGCCGCGCATCCCCTTGAATATAAACTCTAACGGGAAAGGCAGGGACTTCATCTTGCGGGACTCCACTCAATCCACGGCACCCAGGACAGCTCCTGGCCCCGACAGCCCACCTGGCGCGTGGATGGACGGGGAAAGACCAGAGCAGCAGGTACAGGCCACACGTTCCAGGGCTCAGGGCTCAGGACGCAGGAGTGAAAGCCACAAGCACTTGAGAACAGGGTCACATTAGTCTCTGTATCACCAATTTCACACTGGAAAAATGATTTTTTGCCTAAATACAAAGACTAAATTTCTTCTGAAATTTGGAAGTCGTCTATAGGACTATTCAGAAATCCAACAGAGAGCCCAGAACACAAAGGAGCAAAGGCAATTCCTCTACCTGGCACCATGTTATTTACTATTAAAATTATTACGTATTTATTTAACACATGGCTCTCCAGCTCCACTGTAGCAAATCCGTGCTGTGCATTTGTGCCAACTCTAAATATGATATTAATGCCAAAGGAAACAAAAGGTTGACTAGGAAAAGTAATCAGTTTACTACATGACTCAGCTACAGCATATAGAGTGATAAAGACAAACAGTCAAGACTGATGTAACCGCAACTAAAATACAATTACACTGGGAGGCTGTGTAGACGCAGAGCGTGCACAGGTGAGGGAGAGTAAAGGAAGATCCTAAACATCTGAAGTGGAAAGTCAAGAACTGAAAACTTACCAGGTAGCAAAATAAGTGTGTTATTTAGAAATAGGGTGATAACGGAAAAATAATGTCATTTATAAGAAGTGTGAACAGAGCCTTCCGGGAGATGCAAAGGGAGAGTGAGGGGCACAGCCCAAATCGTACCACGTGACTGTAAGAACGCGCCTGCACCATTCTCGCCACACGGCGCCGCGGGCACGGGCTGCCGGCGCGGTTCACAGCCGGTGAGGGAAGCGGGGACCCCCGGCTCAGCCAGTGTCTGCGGGCCGCTCCGCTGCACGGCCACCCCTGCACGAACGCATCCCGTCCACGCTCTTAGGAAGCAAATCGCTGTGAGCAGCCCACACTCAGAGGGCGCAGAGCTGCGCCGGCCCCAGCAGAGGGGCGTCCATCCAGTGACCGGAATTCTTCTGTGAGGGAGGTCTGTCGATCTCTGCCTCTTCCACCGTTTGTTTGTTTAATCATTTACATCAATACGGACCGGCAGACATTTTATACTTTTGATTATATCTAAATAATACTAATTATTAAAAATGTATTAACAGTATTATTTAGCTGCTGCTCAAACTGTTCCAGTGTGGTCCAGTGGCGCTCTCTCAGTTGGGTCCTATGTCCGTTTTTCATGCTCCTCTCACTTTGTTTTTTGGACACATCCTTACTTTCTGGCACCACAAGTAGCTCCAGGCTCATCCTGTATTTTCCCCGCCCTAGCCCTAGAATCGGCCGTTTCTCCACGGAGCCCTGGTTTGGTCTGCGGTGGGATGGTATTAGAATCCAAAATGGGAGCTGGGGAAGGTGCTGTCCAGCTACTTGAGAGGCTGATGCAGGAGCATCGCTTGAGCCCAGGAGTTGCTCGTGCTGTGATCGTACCTGGGAAGAGCCACTGCACTGCAGCCTGGGCGACAGAGTGAGAACCTATCACTAATTAAAAAACAAAACAAAACAAAAAAGAATCCAAACTGGGCCCAGTGGTCTTCCTCCTAAAAGCCCATAGCCCGGGCCTAACCATGGGAAAAATATCAAATCTAAATGAAGGACAAAATAGCTGCCCTGCACTTCTCAAAACTGTCCAAGTCATTTCAATGGACTAAATGTGGGCCTCCCCCCACCCCCACCCAATCCCCACGGTGAAGCCCTAACCCCCAATGTGATAGTTATCAGGAGGTGGGGTCTCTGGGGGGTAATCAGGTCATGAGGGGAAAAGGGAACCCAGAGCGCTCTCTCCTCCGCTTTTTCCCCCCGCGCAAAGACACACCGGAAGCCAGCCGCCTGGAGCCCAGAAGGGGCCATCACCAGACCTGACCACACTGGCACCCTGATCACAGACTTCCAGCTTCTCAAACTGTGAGAAATAAACTTCCGTTGTTGTAAGCCACCCAGGCTGTGGTACTGTTACAGCAGCCCTAACAAACTAAGGCAGTCATCGAAAACGCGGAACGTCCAAGAAACTGTCACAGACCAGGAGGCATGACAAATGTGATGCAGAATCTTGGGTGGGATCCTGGGATAGAAAAAGGACATGAGGGAAAAACTAGTGACATCCAAACAAAGTGGAGTTTAGAGAATAACATACCAGTGTTGGTTCCGTGGCTGTCACAAATGGGCTACAGTGACGTAGGACGCTAACATCGGGGGAAACTGGGTGCAAGGAATGTGGGAATTCTCTGCAC